CTTTTTGATGCACTGATTGCTTTTTGTGTGAAGCTAACCTTGCATTGTTGAGCTAAATTATACTTGGTTATGATGTATTATTCTTATATTGCAGGATAGGTTTGCTGATAGTTTATTAAGTATATTTGCATCACATTCACTAGGGGTATTGTTTTGTGATTTCTTTTCTTCTAATGTCTTTGCCTAGTTTGGTAGTAATGCTGAATTCATAACATGAAATGCAAGTGTTCCCTAAGTCAATCTCTTGAAGGATTTTATGTAACATTCATATTTTTTTTCTTATGTGTTTGAATAGCTCTATACCAAAGAAACTGAATGTGTTATTATAATCCTTTCACAAAGAAAATGCTAGGCCCAAATAATTTCTATCAAAGTTTGTTTCTTCTTCTATTAGTTTTGATATCTTGTCTCTTTTTAGTTCTAGAATTTCCATTTGGTACTTTTTAATATTTTTCTCTGGTGAGATTCTCTACTTCTTCATTTAACATGGCTATATTTTCTTCTTTGAACATATATATAATAGCTCCTTTGGAGTTCTTATCTGCCAGTGACAACTTTTGGTTATCTTGGGGTTAGTTTCTGTTGATTCTTTTTTGTCTTGATTATGTGTCCACACTTTCTAATTTCTCCATATGACTACTAGTAACTTGATTTTATACTGGACATTTTAGATGGCAAATTCTGTTATCTTCTTCCAAAACATGATGGATTTTGTCCTAACAGCCAGTTAACTGGGCTGGACTCAAATTCCAAACTGTTTGTACTATGGTGGGTGGCAGCTAAGCTGTTGCTGTCTGCTGGGCCCCGAGGTCTCCCCACACAATATGTGTAGTTCAGTGATTAGTCAAAGATTTGGCTGAGGTTTATAAGCATATTTTGATTGCCTTCTCCAGTGGCTTCTACTTTTCCATGACTTGCCCCATCATTTTTCACTCTGGCAACTCTTAATTTTCACCTCTGACTCCTAAAGCTTTCTGCTTGAGTTCTAGCTGCCTTTCACAGCATGAAATGGGGAGTGCATTCAAGTGGAAAGGTGCATAAAACACATCTCAGCCACTGTGGTTCACCTCTTTCAAGGCTGACTCCCTATTTCTGCTTTTGATATTTCCCAGCTCCCTCAAAGCTGTTTGGCATATTTTTCCAGAATTTGTCCATGTTATCATGGAAGGATACAAGCTTCCTCACCACCAACAGAACAGGAACTGCTCTATTTGTTTTCATGGGGAAATTTGAGATTAAAAAATGATATCACCACCCCCACTATTTTTCCAGAATTCTCATAGAGGAATATATTTGACCAAACAATCTTTACATTCACACACTCTTGACATGTCCACTTCTCTGGCCTAAAAGTCCAACAGTTTCATTTGTATGGCCAATTAAGTTTTGAAGTATAATAAATAAAAACTGGCAAATAAACCAGCTACAGAATATATTTCAAATAGATATAAGTCTTGAATAGATTAAAAATTCTTAATTGTAACCTTAAATGCCTTACACAGACTCATTCTGTACACCATTCCAGGCTCATCTCTATCATTCTCTGTTTAGTTCATTACCTCCAGCTACCCTAGCCTTCTTGCTGTTTCTTAGATACCAGAGCACCTGCCACTCCTATCATCTGGAATGTTCCTTCTTCAGATCATTACATGATTGCTCCTTCTGATCATTCAGGTCTCTGATCGTGTATAATATCATCAGAGGCCTTTTCTGATTCTCTACTTAAAAGACAAAACCCTCTCCCCCATCCCAGTTAAGCTGCAACATCTTACTCTGAGTTATTTTCTTCAAAACATGGTCACTATCTGAAATTACTCACTTTCCTTGTTTATTGTCAGGCCCCCCACTAAAAGGTAGGCACAAAGAGGGCAGCGTCTTTGTCCTGTTCACCAGTGTATCCTCAGGGTCTAGAACAGATGCTTGCATAGAGTATGTTTAAAAAGCACTTATTAAGTGAATAAATGAAGAATGATATGGCAGGTGTTGAGGTAAACCTAATTTCCCCCCCACTAAACTCATCTGACAATAAAAAGAAATTAAAGTAAATAAAAACATTTTTGCAAAAAGTAAACAGTATCGTATAAACTATAAGTTCTTATATTTAATTTAAAACAAAGCCAGTATTTCATTTTACTTTAGGGCAGTGAAACATTGAACATTATAAAATCATATGTTTCAACAAACCAAATATAAATTCTCAATTGGTAAGAGAAAAAAATAACTGAATAGTAAAAAAAATGAATAAATTAAGTGGTGTTATGGCTGTCAAAGTTGTTTAACATGTATTAATGAAAAACTCATGGCAGTGAACTTTGGGGATGAATGGGCATGTAACATTAGGATTTGAATTAGGGAGAGAGGCTGTTTCAAAGTTCAAGGGACAATAGGTACTTGGAGTTTTTAGCTTCAGAGGATTTACCTACTTAATTTTAAAACTTACTGCTCTCTTAAAACATAAAATGGTCATCTCAAATTCAAGCCAGAAGTAGCAATAATAATATTAATAATGCTATGTGTTTACTAACCATTATTCAGGCTCATAACTTACATTAATAATTTATTTTATTATTCTTTTTATTAAAATGATACTGTTCAAATAAAGTCAGACATAAAATTAGCTTTGGAAGAAAATCACTTTGGTGTAATGCATAAACCTTTGAGGATAAAATGCATCTAAGTTCTTCCAGTCATGCAGAACTAACAAATCCATGACACATAAAATGCCCATTTATTTTTCTTATTCTCTACAGAAGATCAGAGTTTTAAGAAGTTTCTTAGAAACCATTGGAACAAATTGCTTTGTGGTACAAAATTGCCATAAAAATTTTGCTGGTGAATGGCAGATGCGGCAGCTAAGTTTCACATGCTTCTTTCCCAAATACGGAATTCAACAGAGTGGTTTTGATAGAGGAAAACCTAATTCCTGAAATGGGGATATGTTAGAAATGTAATACTTTTTTTTTGCATCATGTAAATAATTTCAATCTAAATTAAGCTTATTAGATTTGTTGTAATTAGAATTGATGCATATAGATTTTATTAACAAGGTAACCTAGTATATAAAGCTATTTCTATTTAAATTGAACCCCTTTGAAAATTTCTAAGAGCCATAGCTTTATCAGAAATGCTCACAGGAACTGTGATATTCAAATGGACAAACTAATAAACAAATAATATAGCAAATGATGATCAAGGGTACATATCCTGGCTTTACCTCAAATCATTCAACAGTAGCAGACTTGGCAGTGCTATTATTGTTCTTTATCTTCAAATTATTTAGAACAGTGACATTCTAACTCGTTTATGTCAATTAAGTCCCATTAGAATGTTGCTTCTGAACTAAGCTTAATCCTGATCTGGAAATGTTGCTATTATGGTTTTTTTTTTATAACCTTGTTTCTGCCAAAAGGATAAAAAAAAAAAAAAAAAAGGAGAGTAGGGAGTCAGGTAGGGAGGTTTTGGGGCAGGATTATCTTCATTATCTTGGCAAGCAGGCAAAGTTTTGCCTACAAAGCTAAGCAGATTTTGCTGATACTGAACTGACATATTACCTTGAAGTGAAAGGTTTATAAGAGTAAAGAGATAATTATGTGAGTAAAGATTTGAAAAACTACAGCACATCCAATCATTTGATACTGTGTTTTTAACAGGTTTCTTCTTTCACCTGCACAGCTATATACTATCAATCACTCTGTTCTCTCTTGATATCCCAGAATGCATCTGTTTGTGAGTCACTGGAGTAAATGTCAAAGAGAGAGGACATTCTAGACCATAATTCATCAGTCTGAGTAGTTGCATTACAGAGTAGTTTTCCAAACACTCACTTTGGCCTGAATACCTGAAAGATAATAAACACAATTACCTATGATTTAAGACTTTGCTTTGCATTTATCTTTCATACAGAAAAGATCAATCCAATTGGTCAGTCAACTGAAGAGTCAAAACATACCCACACTACAGTGAGGGGGCCTTTTCAGAGAAATTTGTGTACTTTTATGCACTGGGCCTTTTACACAGTGAGCAGGTACTGAAGTGATGTCATCAGGTAGATTATCAGCATGCACTTGTGTGTGTAAAACTTCATTTTCACATGTAATCTAAACATATAAATCAAAAAAGAGAATTGTATTAAAGATAAGCCTACCTTATGTGGTTTTATCTTTCAAAAGTTATAAGTAGTATAAGAGTAGAGATAATATTTTTCAAGGGCATATATTAGGAAGGCTGGAATCTGAACCTAGGCAAGCTGGCTCCATAGTCCAAGTTCTTATCTGCCATACTGTGCTTTACTACTTCTGAATCGTAACTTGCTAAGCATTCTGGTCAGGCAGAAATCTATAACCTGTTCAAGCTTTTTGCTTACAACCCACTATTTTTTTCCTAAGTCAACATCTGGAAGAGATAATAGTATTAGTATTAAAATACTGGACATCATAGCAGCAGCATTATTCTAGAAAACCTGATCATCAATCCTTTATGCCTTAGAGAGAAATACTTTAGTAGGATAGTATGGTTGGCTTTAATATTTTTATGCTTTCCTGAGAAAAATTACAATGTTAAATGTAAATTCTGTGGGGGAAGTAAGAGGGAGAAAGGAGTTGGATAGCAATAAGGTAACATAAGACTGAGTATTTAGAAATTATGTGGAAGAGGCTAAGAAAAGCTATCTGAAAATACTATGAAGACCTATGAGGAGGAAGAATTAGATGTGACAGAGAAATGAAAACAAAATCAAAGTCCTTTGCAATGAATGTATGGCCTTGGCAGTAGCAACTGTCTGCAGACCACTGAAAAAATATTTTAGTGGGCATCTTTGGTTACTGCAACACAGACTATTAATGTCCAAGGTAAAGAAACCTAGTGAAGAAACTTTTATTGAGTCCTTTTGTAATATGAATTATTATTGAGCACTTAAATAAAAATTTTAGTCTTATCTTTATTTGTATTTGATTAATCTCCACTGGCTACATTTACTTCTAAGCCAAGCATTATAGAAGTTTAGGATAAGTATATTTCTTTCTAAAGCAGATGTACACCTGATAAAATGGAATTAAATTTAACCAGGGCTTAAAAAATAATTTTTGTTCCCTTATAACAACAGCATTTTATCAGAGAAAAATTTGTACCATCCATAGAAGCAAAAATAAACATTAGCCATAATCTCATCATCCATAGCTAACACCTTAATATTTTGGTATTTTTTTCTTTTTCTATGCATTAAAAAAAATTGGAATATACTTTATGATTATTTTCCCCTTCAATGTACATTTCTGATATTAAGCATTCCACATAATTTTTATGGCTGCATATAATCAGCTATACTCTAATTTATTAAAACAATTCATATTTTGTAAATCTTTGGACATAAGACTTCTGTTTACACATCTGACTACATCTTCATATTAAAAGGTTAAGAAGAATTTTCAGATATGTGTTACTCAACTGGAACATGAGTTAAAATAAAATACTTAGAATGGGGCAGAGAGAGAGGAAAGGGTGGAAAATATAGACCATAAGAGAGATAGAAGATGAGATATATTAATTGACCCAGATGAAAAGCAAGAGAAATGGGACAGAAGTATTATTTGAACATATAACATCTGAGAATTTACCAAAATGGAGAAGAGGCATTAAGACATGGTTTTACAAAAGTACTATTTGTATTTACCAAAATAAGAACAAAGCAAAGCATATCTATGCACATTACAGTAAAGCTGGAAAACAAAGAGAAAAACTTAGGAGCAGCCAGAGGAAAAAAGGTACATTCTCTTCAAATGGGCAACCATAAGAAGTAGGCAGAGTAACACCTGAACTCTTAAGGACACAAAAAGACTGAAAATGAAAATACGTAAAAAACTATGCCAACCCTATACCAAAGAAAGCTGGTGTTGCTATATTATCACTATATAACTAATGACATAGTTTTAAAATACCTAACACAAAAATTGTTAGAAGACTAAACATGTAAACTCAAAATCACAGTGGAAGATTTTTAAGATCCTTCTTTCAGTTAACTAGTACAATATGTAGGCAAAAATTCCGTAAGGATAAAGGAAATTTAAACATGATTAATAGACATATGGTATATAGTATGCAACTGTAGAACACATATTCATGTCAAGTGCATATGGAACATTCACAAACACTGACCTGTTTTGCCTAATACAAGTTTAAAGAGAGTAAATGCATATGTGGTATATTCTCTGGCCACAGTGTAATTGATCTAGAAATCTGTGACAAAAATATAACTACAAAATGCCTGCATGTTTGGAAATTTGAAAATACGCTTCTGTTTGGAAATTTAAAAATATACTTCTAAATAACCCATGAATAAAAGGTAAAATTACAGTGGAAATTAGGAGACATTTTATATTGAATAATAAATAAAAATATGTATGAAATCTAAAGAGCCCAAAATAGCTAAGATATCAAAGAAGATGTACAAGAGGAATTAATTAATTGATATTAATTCTTAATATGAACTACAAAAAGTCACTGTGATAATGCTGTAAGGATAATGGTGTAAAGACAAAAAGAACAGAATAAAAAAATGTGGAAACAGACTTAAGCATGTATAGAAGCCTAAGTTATGACAGTTGCCACTAGGGGACAATGAGGAAATGCTAGTCTTTTCAGTGAAAGATACTGAGTCAATTTCGTACCTCCATGGGGAAAAATGAAACTTAAAACTCTATCTCACATCATACACAAAAAGCATTCTGAATGGACTGTAGATCTGAATGTAAAAACTAAAAACACTAAGTTTATAGAAAACAGCAGAGTATAAATGTTTTCAGCTTAAGCACACAGAAAAGGATTGGTAAACTGACCTACGTTAAAATTAAGGACTTCAGTACATCAAAAGATATTATTAAGAGTCAAGAGGCAAGCCAGTGGGAGAAGATATTTAAAAAACAAATAAACATACTTAGCTGACAAAGGAGTTGAAGACAGAATTTATTAAGAATGCTAAATTAACAAGAAAAAGATAATCAAAGAAAAATGGGTGTATCACCAAAGAGTCTATCTAAATGTTCAATGAACATTTAAAAAGGTGTTTCCTTAGTAATTTTTATCTACAAATGGAAAATGCAAAGTAAACCACCCCTACACTCCTTGTAAAAGGACTCAAGTGTGAAAGACTGACAATCCAAGGGTAGGCAAGAATGTAGAATCCTATCAACTCATATGTTGAGAGAGTGTACCTTGGTACAACTATTTCAGAAAATGATTTGGTATTGTTTACAAAAGGTCAGTATAACATTATAGTCCAGCAATTCCAATTCCAGGTATATACCATCATAAATGTGTGCACATATGAAAAAGATATGTACGAGAATGTTTACAGCAGTATTACTTAGAATAGCCCCCAAATGGTGACAAACCAAATGTCCAACAGTAGAACAGGTAAAAAAATTTTGATATATTCATACGATGGGCTGCTATATAATAATGAAAAAAAAATTATGGCTATATGCAACAATATGTATGCATCTTACAAATATGAAGCTCAGCAAAGAAGCCGGATGTAAGAAATGTCTCTAGGATGATTATAGTGATATGAAGTTCAAAAAAAGCAAACTTTGTTCCTTTGAAAAGAGGGGAGGGGCTGAGGCTATAGTAATATAGCAGCTCCCTGGACTGCTAGTAGTGTTCTATTTCTTTACTTAGGTAGCGGTCACGGGATAATTCAGTTCAGGATAATTTAATGATTTAAGATTTGCATTTGCTTCAATTGAAGTTCAGTAAGACAGTTGCATAAAAAAATACAGTTGGACAGCAAACAAGGATACAAAATTAATAGTTAAGGAAAACCAATAATCATAGTTTTATGGAGCAAAGTATCAGTGTATGGTGTTCCTCAGAGTCCCCTTTCTTCCTTGGGGATGGCCCCTAATTTTTTCTTAAGCTTCCTAAAAAATAGGAAACATTCATACTTATATTTATCTACACACAGCACCAACTGCTCAGAATAGTGTCTGTAACAGCTCAAAAAATGTTGCAGAATGACTGGAAATTCAACTTCTAGTTAGTTGGTCTTGGAACTGGAAGAAAAAACTGATGGAATCAGAGGTGAAGCCGACTTTCTCAGCAATGTTATTGGGGTTCCAGATCCAGACCAAGCTAAAGATTCGCTGTCAACTTTAAACTTCTTTTAACTTCATATACTTTTTTTTTTGTTATCATTAATCTACGATTACATGAAGAACAGTATGTTTACTAGGGTCCCCCCTTCACCAAGTCCCCCCCAAAAACCCCATCACAGTCACTGTCCATCTGCAGAGTAAGATGCTGTAAAATCACTACTTATCTTCTCTTTGTTGCACAGCCCTCCCTGTGCACCCCCCCCACACTATACATACTAATTGTAATGCCCCCTTTCTTTTTCCCCGTCCTTATCCCTCCCTCCCCTCCCATCCTCCCCAGTCCCTTTCCCTTTGGTTAGTCCATTCTTGGGTTCTGTGATTCTGCTGCTGTTTTGTTCCTTCAGTTTTTCTTTGTTCTTATACTCCACGTAACTTTGTATACTTTTAAACTAACTACTATTAAAACCCACACATAGTTTCTTAATAACTCAGCAAATATATTGATATAATATGGATTGTTAGAAATTCTGGCTGGATATATTTACTGACTGGAAAATACACTTGGTATCTATTCTGGATTTCTCAATAGTTAGCACTTGTTATATCAGAAAATCTCTAGTTGTTTCACTAGCATGGCTTTTGTCTCCCAATTTTTGATTGCATAGTAAAATTATAAGGAAGAAAAATAAGGGTGTGTGGCACATGTTTAATATTTACATCTTTTACTACATGATTTATCTACATATAGATGTACAGAGATGTGATGGACTACCTGTTGGATAGTATGGTGGCTAGATAGTTCAAGGAAAGGGCAGAAACGTCTTAGGTACACAGTTTGATGAGAAGAGAAACTGGCAGACAATTGAAAATTCTATTATAGTACAAAAAATTGCTCTTATAGTCACATAATCACTCTACGAACATTTATTGAGTTCCTTAAACTTGCAAAATATTGTTCTAGATACTACTGGCAATACGATAATGAACAAATCAGATAGGATCCTTGCTCTCGTGGAGCTTACATTCTGCGAGAGCAACATTTAGCAAACTACACACTTAGTTCATGACGGTTGTGATGAGGGCTATTGAAGTGTACGTACTATTGAAGCATGTGAAGTATATAAAGAATGACCGCATACAGTTATGGGATAAATAGGAAGAATGTTCCAGCTGGTTTTTAAAGTAAAATAACGATGATGGGGAACGGGAAGGGCATAATTCCAGGTTACTACATAAACAACTGAGCAAAGGCTTGCTGATACGTTCAAAACCTGAAAAGATCAGCATGACTGGTGCAGTGAACAAGAACAGTGGCTTTGGATAGAAATAGTGTGGTGGGCAGGGGCAAAAAGCAGGCAGGGACTTGTAGATTGTGTTAATCATTTTGTACTTTATCCTAATAATTGCAGGAAGCCACTGAAAGGTCTTAAGCATCCACCCCAATGTAGGAAGCAGGTTGGTACCGCAGAAGGAGTTTTGGTCTGGCGATTAGAGTTAGAGCAAAGATTATAGGCCCTTGAGGAAATTATTAACCTCCTGGATTGGGTTACTTACTTGTGCATAAATTAAGAGTTTGGATTAGATGTGCACTTCAGCTTCCTTCAGTTCTAAAATTCTTTCTGTGAATACCTCTATATATATTCAAATGGAAAAATATCATTTACAAATCACTTAACTTCTTGGTGAACTCCTCCCATCTCCAGAAATGCTTTTTAGATTCAATTAAGTCGTAATTTAATTTATGTCATGGTGATAGGGCTGAAGTTTCATTATCTCAAAGAAGGCTGGCATGTCTTTAAGATGAGAAGTGGGGAAGATACTAGTAATCAAATGCAAAGTAAGTGTAATCAATGCTTACGAAGATTAAGAAGGTAAGCAGAAGAGGACAAGATGGGAAAATTCGGTTTACTGGTTAATTTAACTTAAAGGAAACTAGTCAAGAGGAAGTTTAGGAGCGGGAAGGGATTGTTTATCAGCAAGCCCCGTCTTCAAAAGTAGGTCTACATCCCCTTTCCTTACCATTGTGACAGTATAATCCACATTGCCTCAAGTTTATGTAAGATGTTGTACAAAAAGTTTCAAGCACCCTATTCTTGGTTTGCTCAAATTAAATCCTATTTAAAAACTCTTGGGTCAAAAAGTGAAGGTGACTCTATAATCTGAAGGATAAGCGTTGTGTTTATGTGAGTTTTGGGGGAGGAGTAGGTAGAAGAAATTATAATCCCAAAGTGTTAACGCCAAGTAGTATCTTGGAGACCAACGCTCAGCACACGCCTAACTTTACAGATGAGAAAACAGAAACCTTCCAGGTGTGGCGACTTTCCCAAAGTGGCACTAGGGAGACGCTTCCCCAGAATGACACAGTCTGGGGGTCCTTCCATGACCCTCGGTGGACTCGGGTGTCCCTTTACCTGTGAAGCTACGGCCTTCTTCCTGACCCAGAGGAGGGCACAGGAGGCTAGACCCGGGGCAGCCTCCGCCCGCCTGACTGCCTGGGGCGCTCCTCCCTTCTCGGGGCTGCCCGCTTGGTCTCCCTCTCCTTCCCCCGTAGGTGCTGGGGAGGACACCCGGGTGGGCACGGCGCCCGCTGTGAGCCGCAGGCGCTGGGAGAAGCGCAGGATCTTCTCTGCAAAACCGGAGACGTGGAAACAGGCTGGCGCGAAGTGGTCGGAGCAGGTGGCTGGGCGGTCATTGCCCCGCACGAAGCGGCCCCACAGTAGCCGCGCAGCGCGGTGGTTGGGGAAGCGGAACAGCGAGTTCCCGGCCTTGGTGGTGTTGCCGCACTGGGCGGGGAAGCCGGGGTCCCCATGCCCTCCGAACGCCCCTGCGCTCCTAGCCGCGACCGGGGCGAGGCGGTCTGCTCGTGAGCTGTCGGCGCCCCGTCAGTCCTGTTTCCTTCCCCCACCTCCGGCCACCGGAAGTGCCGAACTGGGGCCCCAAAGTGGGAGAGTCCCCGGCTCTTTGACATGTGCCTCCTCGTCTCCGCAGTCCCCGGACAGAGCAGGTGGACGCAGGGAGAGTGGTACAAATTTCGCGTAGGTGGAGCTGAGGTGGGCCTTGAAGAGGAACGGACCGGAAGTCGTGGTTGTCATAGTTACCGAGGGGCCCGGCCTCTTCCCGGTTCTGTCCTCCCTACACTCCCACAATGTTTTTAGGAGGCTAGGAAAACAGGACGAGGAAGTGCTGACGCACTGAGTCCTCACAAACCCAAGCAGAGGCTCTAACGATTGTGTTGGTCAGTTGATTTGGGAGAGGACCAGACCGGAAATGGTAGTTTCCATGGTAACCCGTGAGCTGGTTGCCTGGGAGATGACCCCTTTTAGGTCTCTTTGAATCCCTACTGTAGCGTCACTTGTAAGGCAGATCTCAGAGATCCTGGACTGTCTTCTGCCATGATTCCCGGGAAATACCGCCCTGTTTCTGGCCGGGCTGCGAACAACGTAGGTTGGATCTCGTATTTTCCCTTTCTTATTATTCGTACCGTCTTTTCTGACTGGCGTCTTTGTCCTAGGTGATGGGCTGTATTATTGGGACCAGGACCGCTGAGTCTCCTCAAGCTATTGTCTGACCGAGGCTTGAGATTCGTGGACTGGACCAAGGCACTTTGAGGGTATTTAATATTGTATGATGGGTATTCAAAGTCTTGTCCAGGATCTGGGCTTTCCAGAAGGTGGAGCTGGTCTGCTGTGAAAGGCTACCCTTCATTTTATTTTTTTTAACCAGTCAATCCCTATCCCCCCCCACCCGCCCCCGTTTTCTTTAATGAATAATTTATTATTAACAGGAACTTGTATCTATTTAAATGTCCCACTAAGATATTTACTTAGACCTGCAATGGCAAGAGTCGAAAGCCTGAGATGCTAAAGTAAGGGGTTAAATTGCTGCAGAGATTTTGGGAAATAAATCACAGTGAAACCTTTTACTTCTTAAGTTGTGAATTTATTGTTTACAGCAAATCCTCAGAACATGATATTTACATAATTTTTGGTTATGTCTTTACCTGTACTGTTTTTTGGGGGAGTATATATGTGTGTATTTAAGTTAAGAGCATATTTTATGGCTTAATTTTTACATTGCAGGTGAACTGTGGGCTTCATCTGGTTATTCAAACATCATCACTTCCTGAAAAAAACAGAGTAAGATTTAAGTAAATTTGTATTTTAATTGAAGAATAACTATTTTTATATTCTACAAAAATAGCAGCATTATTTAAAGAGTAGAGTTTGAATTGGAAATGTAAATATATTTACTTTGGTCTCCAAGCTAAAGCCAAAACGTCTTTTAAAAACTTTATCTTATTTCACCAATTACTAGAGATAAGTGACTTTTTCTTGACATTTAAACATTTCTAAAATCAGGATCCTTCTTAAAATTGATGGTACATCATAGTTTAATTGAGAAAACTTTTTCTTTCTTAGCAGTGGGTAAAATGATAGTATATCTTACTGGTGGACACTTATACTGGATAACATGATAATTTGGGGGACTATACCTACATATTCCATTTAAAATCATGAGAGAAAAATAGATTAGCAATGCAAATATATTAGGCTTAGTATTATGTAGAAGATAAGTTATGTAAATGAGATATTTTTCCCTCAAAATTTGCCCATAATATTCCTGGAATTTCCATAAGTACTGGCTTTTGATTTGATTTTTGAGATACACATATTTTTCTTTTCCTCCTGTCTCACCTAAACACTGAAATATACTCACCTGCCTCCTACACAACTGTGTCTCAGGACCTAATACAATATTTCCTCCTTCGATTAAATTGTACATCTCTAAACATCACAGTTCCATTTTTCCTAAGAAATTGTTAAATGGATGTCACTGGAGGAAGTCTAAAGTGAATGGCGGAGTTCACAGATACAACTTATGGAGGATACTGAGGGGTGTGAGGAGGGTGGTCAGTGGTAGGACGCTACTGGTCAAGGAGGTGAAAGTTGATCACATTGTATGTATGAAAATGGAAATATGGAAATTAGATCATTTGATCATCTTGAATAAATAGCAGTTAGCTACATTAACTGAAAATATTCTTTGTTATAATTGGGCATAATGGATTCCCTCCAAAGCTTCGCTATTTGATTCCACTGGACAAATCGTATTCTACCATTATGATATGTTTCCAGGAACTATGCGCCTCATCCAAATTCTTTCCGAACCATTAATTTTCTTTTGTGTGGACCTATGTTCTGAGAAAATACCCTTATCTCATATAATTCATAAGAATATAATGCAAAAACCATTATAATGTTTATAGTATGAAAAAAATCACAAACATTATACTTCTTTTAAGATATTATTCAGGTTTTTAATTTTTTTATTAAGGTATCATTGATATACCAACTTATGAAGGTTTCACATGAGTAACATTGTGGTTATAACATTCACCCATATTATCAAGTACTTCCCCCAATACCCCATTGCAGTCGCTGTCCATCAGCGTAGTAAGATGCTATAGAGTCATTACTTGTCTTCTCTGTGCTGTACTGCCTTCCCCGTGACTGTGCTAAACATAACGCCCCTTAATCCCCTTCTCCCTCCCTCCCCACACACCTTCCCCAGCCCCTCCCCTTTGGTAACCACTTGTCTTTTCTTGGAGTCCTTGAGTCGGCTGCTGTTTTAGTCCTTCAGTTTTGCTTTGTTCTTATACTCCACAGATGAGTGAAATCAGTTGGTGCTTGTCTTTCTCCACCTGGTTATTTCACTGAGTCCAATACCCTCTAGCGCCATCCATGTTATTGAAAATGGTAGGATTCATATTCTTTTTATGGCTGTATTCCATTGTGTATATATACCACATCTTCTTTATCCATTCATCTACTGATGGACATTAGGTTGCTTCCATTTCTTGGCTATAGTGCTGTGATAAACATAGGGGTGCATATGTCTTTTTGAATCAGGGATCTTGTTTTCTTCAGGTAAATTCCTAGGAGTAGAATGACTGGGCCAAATGGTATTGCTATTTTTAGTTTTTAGAGGAACCTCCACATTGCTTTCCACAATGGTTGAATTAATTTACATTCCCACCAACAGTGTAGGGGGGGTCCCCTTTCTCCTCATCTTGCCAGCTTTTGTTGTTTCTTGTCTTTTGGATGCTGGCCATCCTTATTGGTGCGAGGTGGTATCTCATTGTGGTTTAAATTTGCATTTCCCTGATAATTAACGATGTGGAGCATCTTTTCATGTACCTTTCGGCCATCTGAATTTCTTCTTTGGAGAAGTGTCTGTTCAGATCCTCTGCCCTTTTTTTAATTGGGTTATTTGCTTTTTGGGTGTTGAGGTGTGTGAGCTCTTTATGTATTTTGGATGTTAACCCCTTACCGGATATGTTATTTACAAATGTATTCTCCTACTTTTTGTTCTGCTGATAGTGTCCTTTGCTGTACAGAAGATTTTTAGTTTGATGTAGTCCCATTTGTTCATTTTTGCTTCTGTTTCCCTTGCTCGAGGAAATGCGTTCAGGAAAAAATTGCTCATGTTTATATTCAAGAGATTTTTGCCTATGTATTCTTCTAAGAGTTTTATGGTTTCATGACTTTCATTCAGGTCTTTGATCCATTTTGAGTTTACTTTTGTGTATGGAATTAGACAGTGATCCAGCTTCATTCTCTTACATGTAGCTGTTCAGTTTTGCCAACACCAGTTGTTGAAGAGGCTGTCATTTCCTCATAGCATATCCGTGGCTCCTTTATCATATATTAATTGGCCGAATATGTGTACGTTTACATCTGGGCTCTATTCTGTTCCATTGACCTATGGTTCTTTTCTTGTGCCAGTACCAAATTGTTTTGATTCCTGTCGACTTGTAGTAGAACTTGAAGTCGGGGAGCATAATCCCCCCTGCTTTATTCTTCCTTCTCAGGATTGCTTTGGCTATTTGGGTCTTTTGTGGTTCCATATGAATTTTAGAACTATTTGCTCTAGTTTGTTGAAGAATGCTGTTGGTCTTTTGATAAGGATTGCATTGAATCTGCAAATTGCTTTAGGCAGGATGGCCATTTTGACAATATCCATGACCACGGGATGTAGTTACATTTATTGGTATCTTCTTTAATTTCTCTCATGAGTGTCTTGTGGTTTTCAGGGTATAGGTCTTTCACTTCCTTGGTTAGGTTTATTCCTAGGTATTTTATTATTTTTGATGCAATTGTGAATGGAATTGTTTTCCTGATTTCTCTTTCTGCTAGTTCATAGTGTGTAGGAAAGCAACAGATTTCTGTGTATTAATTTTGTATCCTGCAACTGCTGAGTTCAGATATTAGATCTAGTAGTTTTGGAGTGGATTCTTTAGGGTTTATGTACAATATCATGTCATCTGCAAACTGAAAGTTTAACTTCTTCCTTGCCAATATGGATGCCTTCTATTTCTTTGTGTTGTCTTATTGCCGTGGCTAGGACCTCCAGCACACTGTTCAATAAAAGTGGGGAGAGTGGGCATCCTTGTCTTGTTCCTGATATTGAAGGAAAAGCTTTCAGCTTCTTGCTGTTAAGTATGGTGTTGGCTGTGGGTTTATCATATATGGCCTTTATTATGTTGAGGTACTTGCCCTCTATACCCATTTTGTTGAGTTTTTATCAGGAATGGATGTTGAATTTTGTTGAATGCTTTTTCAGCATCCATGGAGATGATAATGTGGTTTTTGTCCTTTTTGTTTATGTGGTGGATGATGTTGATGGATTTTTGAATATTGTACTATCCTTGCATCCCTGGAATAAATCCCACTCGATCATGATGGATGATCTTTTTGATATATTTTTAATTCAGTTTGCTAATATTTTGTTGAGTATTTTTGCATCTATGTTCATCAGGGATATTGGTCTGTAATTTTCTTCTTTCGTGGTGACGTTGTTTGATTTTGGTATTAGAGTGATGCTGGCCTCATAGAATGAGTTTAGAAGTATTCCCTTCCCTTCTACTTTTTGGAAAACTTTTAGGATGATGGGTATTAGGTTTCCTCTCTATGTTTGATAAAATTCAGCAGCATCTGTACCAGGAGTTTTGTTCTTAGGTATTTTTTTAAATTACCAATTCAATTTCATTGCTGGTGATTGTTCTGTTTAGATTTTCTCTTTCTTCTTGGGTAAGTCTTGGAAGGTTGTATTTTTCTAGAAAGTTGTGCATTTCTTCTATGTTATCCAGTTTGTTAGCATATAATTTTTCATAGTATTCTCCAATAATTCTTTGTATTTCTGTAGTGTCTGTAGTGATTTTTCCTTTCTCATTTGTGATTCTGTTTATCCATGTAGACTCTTTTTTTCTTGATAAGTCTGGCTAGGGGTTTATCTAGTTTGTTAATTTTCTCGAAGAACCGGCTCCTGGTTTTGTTGATTCTATTGTTTTATTCTTCTCAATTTTGTTTATTTCTGCTCTGATCTTTATTATGTCCCTCCTCCTACTGACTTTGGGCCTCATTTGTTCTTCTTTTTCTAGTTTCATTGATTGTGAGTTTAGACAGTTCATTTGAGATTGTTCTTCTTTTTTTGAAGTAAGCCTCTATTGCAATATACTTTCCTCTTAGAACTGCCTTCACTGCATCCCAGAGGTTTTGGGGTGTTGTGTTGTTTTCATAATAAAGGGGTGTGTCCAACAAGAAGATATAACCATTATAAATATCTATGCACCCAATATAGGAGCATATATTGGGTCTCCATATATTGCTTGATGCCTGTTTTTATTTGGTCATTGATCCATTGATTATTTAGGAACATGTTGTTAAGCCTCCATGTGTTTGTCGGCTTTGTTTTCTTTGCGTAATTTATTTCTAGTATCATACCTTTGTTGTCTGAGAAGCTGGTTGGCACAGTTTCAGTCCTGAACTGACAGAGGTTCTTTCTGTGGCCTGGTATGTGATCTATTCTGGAAAATGTTACATGTGCACTTTAGTAGCATGTGTATCCTGCTGGTTTGGGGGTAGTATTCTGTAGATGTCTGTTATGTCCATCTGTTCTAATGTGTTGTTCTTTCTTCCCAGTGTGTGCTGGGAGGAAAGAGCTCTTTCCATGCTTCCCAGCTGCAGTACTTGCCTCCACTGCCAGGTCCTGTGGGCCAAGCATGCCGGGAGGAGCCTCTGTGTTATGTCCCTGTAGCTGCCATAGGCAGGGCCACCCTCCAGCTGGCCTGGCGTGATGACGGGGGCAGCATGTATGCAGACTGGGGCCTACAGGGAGGAAGGAGCAGCAGACTATATAAGAGTGCAGGGCCTTGGCGCTCCATTGCCAGCCAAGGGGATGGACTGTGTGAAGCTCCTGAAAGTTCTCAACCTACTGGGCTGAGTGTGTCCTTACTTATTTTCTGCCTGGTTGATCTGTCCTTTGGAGTGAGTGGTATGCTAAAGTCTCCTAAAATTAGTGCATTGCATTCTATTTCCCCTTTTAATTCTGTTAGTGTTTTTTTCACATATTTAGGTGCTCCTATATTTGGTGCATAGATATTTATAATGCTTATATATTTTTGTTGGACTGACCCCTTTATTATTATGCAATGTCCTTCTTTGTCTCTTGCTCCTTCCTTTGTTTTGAAATCATATTGTCTGATATAAGACCTGTAGCGCCTGCTTTTTTCTCCCTATTATTTGCATGAAATATCTTTTTCCATCCCTTCACTTTTAGTCTGTGTATATCTTTGGGTTTGAAGTTTCTTTCTTGTAGGCAGCATATAGATGGGTCTTTTTAAAAATCTATTTTGTAACTCTGTGTCTTTTGATTGGTGCATCCAGTACATTTACATTACGGTAAATTATCGATAGATATGTACTTATTGCCATTGCAGGCTTTAGATTCATGGTTACCAAAGGTTGATGGGCAGTTTCTTTACTATCTAACAGTCCAACTTAACTTGCTTATTATGCTATTTCAAACACAATCTAAAGGTTCTTTCTTTTTCTCCCTTCCTTTTCTTCCTTCTCCACTCTTTATATATTAGGTGTCATGTTATGTACTCTTTGTGTATTCTTTGACCGACTTTGTGGGCAGTTGATTTAATTTTGCAGTTTAGTAATTAATTGGTCTACTTTCTTTACTGTGGTTTTATTTTCTCTGGTGACAGCTATCTGGCCTTAAGACCACTTTCGTCTATAGCAGTCCCTTTAAAATACACTGTAGGGATGGTTTGTGGGAGGAGGTAAATTCCCTCAACCTTTGCTTATGTGAAAGTTGTTTAATCCCTTCTTTAAATTTAAATTATAAGCTTGCTGGGTAGAGTACTCTTGTTTCGAGGCCCTTCTGTATCATGTTACTCTGTTCTGGCCTGTAAGGTTTCTGCTGAGAAGTCTGATGATGGCTTGATAGGTTTTCCTTTGTCATCTTTTTTTTCTCTCTGGCTACTTATAATACTCTGTTGTTGTTCTTGATCTTTGCCATTTTAATTATTATATGTCTTGGTGTTGTCTTAGAAGGGTTCCTTGTGCTGGGAGATCTGTATACTTCCATGACCTGAGAGACTATTTCTTTCCCCAGATTGGGGAAGTTTTCAGCAATTATTACCTCAAAGAGACTGTCAATGCCTTTTTTTCTTTCTTCTTTTTCTGGTACCTCTATGATGCTAATATTGTTCCATTTGGATTGGTTGCATAACTCTCATTATTCTTTCATTCCTAGAGATCCTTTTTTCTCTTTGTGCATCAACTACTTTGTTTTCCTGTTCTCAAATTTCTGTTTAATTTACCATCTCCTCTACCTCATCTAATCTGCTTTTAAACTGCTCCATTGTGTGTTTCAGTTCAGATACTGTATTTTTTCAGTTTCTAGCTCTTTCTTGAAGTTATCCCTGAGATCTTGAATATTTTTCTGTAGCTCTGTGAGCATGTTTAAGAGTTTTATTTTGAAATGTTTATCAAGAAGATTGATGATTTCAGTTTCATTTAGCCCTCATTCTTGTGTTTGTGGGATTTTGGTTTGTACAAAATTCTTTTGCCATTTCATATTTCTAATGGTTACTATGGAATAATACTTTGTGTAGCTGTTGTCCTCTAGTGCTCAGAAGCTCTACTCTCTGGTGCTGCCTAGCACCTGGAGTGATGGTGGGGGTTGCAGGTGTGCGGCACCAGTGCCTGCCTGGAGGAAAGAGCTCTTTCCTTGCTTCCTGGCTGCAGTGCCTGCCTCCACTGCCAGGTCCCGTGGGCCAGGCATGCAGGGAGCTGGCTCTGTGTTATGTCCCTGTACCTGCTGAAAGCAGGGCTACTCTCTGGCTGGCCTGGCACGATGATGGGGCAGCATGTGTGTGGACTGGTGCCTGCAGGGAGGAAGGAGTGTGAGGCTGTGTTTCTTAGTGGGCGGGGTGGGGGGTGCTCTGTGCTGCATTGCCAGCTGTTGGGATGGAGTGTGTGAAGCTCCTGACAGTTCCTAAACTGCTGGGCTGAGTGTTCTGGGACAGTTTTGTTCACCTCTCCTTTCTCCTGAGCAGCAAGTTCTGTGTAATCCTTGCCCCTTTAGCACCCCTCTCGCTGTGGGAAGTCTGTCAAAGTGCTCACCTTCCTTTGTCTCATAGTGGCTGGTTGTGGGTACTTGTTCTCCACAGTGGTTGGAATTTCAGTTTTTCGAAGTATTCTGCCTGCCTTTGCTTTCCAACCCCTCTAATCTCCAGAGCACCATTTAATGTGGGTTTGTGCTCCAGGAGCGAATTTCCAGCAGTGGGTGTTTAGCAGTCCTGGATTTCTACTCCTTCTCTGACCCATTTCTTTTTCTCATGCCTGTGCGCTGGGGCGTGGGTGGGCTTGGGTCCCACTGAATCGTGTCTCTGCTAATTTACCCTTCTCTGTGAGGTCTCCTCTTTTCCCCAGACATAGGCAGTCTGTTGCAGTCTTTTGGGATTAGTTGTATTTGCTCTATTTTCACATTATATGTGGTTTTGGGAGGAGTTTCTGCCTCACATCTCACACTGCCATCTTTCCTTCTCTTTTTTAGGGTTTTATTTTGCATGGCTAATCATGAGAGGTTTTTTTTTTCCTTCAGTCCTCCCAGTAAATAATTTAAAATCAATTTAAATCCGTTTTTTAGAAGGTTTAGATACACAATTTTATTACATTACAATTAGTCTCTTAAAAGAATTCTAATGATAAAAACATGACTTTTCCAACAGCATTGAGTTTCTATTGCTTTTGTTTTTAAGAAAATTATTCTCTTTATCATTGTATTTGAGGTGAGGGTATGCAGAACAAGGAAGAGTCTCTGAGTGGAACATGTTTTCACCTGACTGCTTTTCTGCATGTTTGTTAAAATACACATAACATAAAATTTACCATTTTAACCATATTAAATTATATAACTCAGTAGTATTAAATACATTCACAGTGTTGTACAGCCATCACCACTATCCAGTTCTGCAATTTTTTATCACCTGAATGGGAGTCCCCATATCATAAAGCAGTCACTCCTCATCTTCCCTTCAACACGCAGAAGCCACAAATTTGCTTTCTGTCTCTATAGATTTTACTATTCAATATTTCTAAATGAAGTCATCCAATATATGGCATTCTCTGTCTGGTTTCTTTCACCTAGTGTGAAGTTTTCAAGGTTTATCTGTATTGCAGCATGTATCAGTTATTGTATCTTACAATTATCTTCATTACTTATTGTTAAATTATTATCTAAATATCTTTTCTGAAATGTTTTTTAGGTTGAATTCAGGCTAAATAGAGAAACACCACCATTCCCTGGTCGACTCTTACAACATGACCTTGAAAGAAACTACTCAAGTAGGCAAGGTATTGTCAGTGAGTAGCGATCAGATATGGTTTATTGTCACTGAGTAATATTGTTTAATAATGTTGAATCTCTAGACCACATAGCCTTGGACTAAAAATGAACTGGTTCATTTGTTGCCAAATTGGTTTGATATTTATTTAGATGAGAATTTGTTTTATATACACAGCATAGTAGATTATTTCCAATATAGAAAAAGCTGGTGTATTTTAGTTTGGTGGTAGACTATGCACAAGAGAATGGGAAAGAATCTTCCAAGTATTGTATTACAACTAGGACAAATGGCTAATTAGTGAATTTAGAAGTAATGGGAACAAAGAACTTTAGGAAATAAGGAACAGTGGAAAGAGAGGAAGTCAGAAGTAGAAAAGAATCTCTTTCTCTACTAGCACATATAATTATAGATATTTTGCACTAAGCTTTAGTGTGCATCACCTGAGATCATATTAGAAATGCAGATTCTTAGGGCTTCCTTTGCTTTTTCTTCTTCACCATTCTGATTTTGTAAGTCTTAGGTGGGGTTTGGAAATGTGCATTTTAATAATGTCTCAAATGATTCTGACGGATGTGGTCTGTGGACCACCCTTTGAAAAATATTTCTGTGATCTGATTATACTTCTGAAATGTATTTTTCAACGCAAGGAGAAATTTCCTTTAATCCATTTGAGTTGTTAGTTGGTGGCTGACAACTGTAATGTGTTAGTGTTAAGTATTGCAGAATCCTTATATACAGTACCATGTCCTAGGACTTAATATGAGAGGGCTGATCAGTATAGGCCTTTCTAGATTATTCATCTCATTACTGCATGAACATATGGCAATTTTGAGAATTCAGTTAGTTTTCTTATTCTGTTTTGTTACCTCTGGACCTTCCTCATAGGCCCATCTAATCAGGCATGGCTTTTTTCTTTCCCATATTGAACACTCTTGTCTTGACCAGTTGCTGAACATGGCATCAGCCTAACTGCAG